CACCAGCCTCCACAGCTGCTGTTTCCCACTGCAGCCCCTTCCCCATCCTCCCTGATATGCTAGATACATCTGTCATCGCATAACAGGATTGCTGTAGCATTACACAAGACAATGCTTGAGAGATCTGGGCAAGGAAGATAGGGGTATTTCCAGAAAGGAGAGGGAACAAATAATAGTCATCTCATCTCTCCAGAGCTAATTGGAGCGAGTTATTGCAAACTCTTGTTTCTCCTCTGCACAGAGTAATAGTTGTGTAGATCCTCAGCTAGAGTAAATCAGCATTGCTGCTCAGCACACACAGTGAGTTGTTCTCATGCTCTCCCTTCTGTCAGTAAACTGAGAGCATCCTTCTCAGTCCAACATGAGACCAAAATCCTTAAATCCCTGATGCTGCCATTGATCCAGTCGCTGTCTCTGGCTTTGGCTGTGTGCTGTATACTCTGCCTTTAGTTCCCTGTTTCTCATGGGTGCCCTTTCATTTTATGAATGCTTTTCCAGTGAAAACAACAAAACAGGTAGAGAGCTCTTGGGTATGCTCAGAAAGGAAGAAAGACTCCTCAGTGAGTGCCACACCATGTTCAAGCCTTTGTTATAGGCTCCCCAGGCTTCTAAGCCATGAAAATGGGGTTAAAAAAATAAGCATCTAAGCTCCCCTAGCTTTTAACCCATGAAAATGATTTCCTTTCCTAAATATCAACTAGGAACACAGGAAGTCCGGTTCTAGGGAATTTCAGAGAGTCTTAACATCTTCATTTGGTTTCACTTAATTTTACAAGTATTTAAGTGTGGCTCTGTCCTGCCTGAGTGGTGCAGGCAGAGGGAGGAGGCTCGCTCAAGCAGCAGAGGAGTCGGGCTGTGCAGAGGTTGGTGTTGTGCAAGGCTGATCTGTTAAGCGGGAGGAAGCAGCTCTTGGCTTAGGGTGATTACAGAACAACACTGCCTCAGCAGGATAAGGGCACAGTATAAGCCCCAGCCTGACCAACAACTGCTTGGATATGTAGAACTGAAGAAGGATTAGACAGTACTGCGTTCTGTAGTTACAAGCAGGGAAATACAGCAGGAAAAAAAAAAAAAATAAATATGCCAAGGTTAAAATGAAATATCTAAGCAATGTATTTTTAAACAAAGTATAAAGATCTGGTGAAAAATGTAGAAAGGTTTTAATTCTAACAAAACAGGGCTGCACTCTAGTTTAGCTGATTGTTTGTCTAATCCCTTAGTTTAAATTCACAAAAGCACTCTGTGTCATGGCAGCAGCTATAGGCACGTAAGACCAGCACTGCCATGGATCCAGGGTATCGCTTTCAGTAAAGGAGAAAAGTCACAATCCCCAGCAGCCTCTCGTGGGTACTTCTGACACACATTGGACTCCTTGGTTTGCAGCTTTGACTCACAAAGTTGGAGGAAAATCAGTTCAACCACAAAATAAAAATGGTTAGTCTGTAACAACGTACTGAGCTTGCACTTCCAGTAGCCCTGGAGCTCCAGGCTTTGTGGTTTTTTTAATCCTAATCCTCTCCCAGACCCTAATTGCAGCCTTTGGCCATCATCACGGACTGTCCAGATGAGAAAGGTGTGTGACAGGTACCATTTCCCCTCCTCTCCTTCCTGATGGAACTGGGGCTCATTCGACTCCTTCAGTACACTGGTTTAGAGAATAAAACCTCTTGAGAACTAATTATTTATTTTTTTTTCTTTAACCTAACCCTGTTATCTTCACTGCAGGTACAGAAAATCATCAGGGTGAGGGAATGCTATAATTACTAGGTCCCCTGCCCCTCTGCTACCACTGTCTGTCTCACAGCAGCCAGGGAGGCAGGGGAGGTAGATTAGCTTCCAAAGAAGACCCTAAAAACGAGGCTCTTTCCCTTTGCTGAGATGGCAGTCACAGCTTTATTTCTTGGGAATCTTTTGGGGTGAAGTTGCAGGAGGGAAAGAGGAAGAGGTATCGATAACCAGTCCTTTCTCAATGCAGGGGAAAGGGGTGTGGCGGAATTTACACAACCAATAAGGGGAACTGGGGAGAACAAGATAAGGGAAAGAACTTACAAGTCTACATTTTTGGGGGTACATTTTTTGGGTCATACCATTTTTCCTAACTGCTTTACAACAAGGGAAGGGATTAGGGGAGCTGGCTGTGGACAGAGGGCAGGACAAACCTACCAGAGATAAGTGGCCACTGGATATGAAACCATGCATTCCAGATGATACTGGTCCAGCAGATGGGGAATGCTTGCCAGGATGTTGATGCTGTCTAGATGCTGAGCTGCTGGTATCTTCTGTTCACCTATAACTGCTGGGCCTCACTGACATATTTCTTCCCTCACTACAGATATTTGCTAAAAATAGTCATATTAAAACTGAAGGGTATTTTTTTTTTTTTTCAGAAAAGAGTGGTAATCAAACCCTCAACAATGCAAGAGATTACAGGTTTAAGAGTGTCCTTACAAAAGAGACTGAATTTAGGGAGTGCTAATACTTTCCCCTGCCAGCCACTCATTCAAACACAGCCTTGGTCCTTAGTAACTAGAAGTGGTTCCTGCCTGATGGATTTTTCATTGAGCAACATAAATAGAGGTGAAATGGAGAGGATCCTTGACACAATGGCCAGATGCCAACATCACAGCCCCCCAGTGTAATTTTCAATGGAATTCAATGGTTCAAATGTATTATGAACAGCACCTTTTTCACTTGGTCTAAGCATTTTCCTCCATGGTCCTCTCCTGGTGGTGAGTAGCTTGCCTTCCCACTATCACAGCTGTAGCTTTTTTGTGGGTAAGTGGAAGATTTCACTCTTGTGGGCTGCCAATTAGGTGGCTTTCAGTACCAGCTAGAGTCAGAGGGATGATTAAAATAAAGTGCAGCCTTTTGTCCTGTCCTTTGCAAAAGGAACTATCAGTCATTTCAGGGGAGAATAAAGACTTATCCCACTTCCTGCAGTCCAAAAGATGAATAGAATAACTTTCAAAATGTTAGAAATACATATTGATTTTCCACAATTCTCATTTCCCATTGAAAGAGACAACTTGCCTCTTATTTTGTATGAACCCTGTCATTTTATTTCAGTGGTTTGGCTGTCTCCTGGACCTCTGTTTACAGTGCTAGTGCAAACTAGTGAGTGTTAGTGCAAGCCTAGCTCTTACAAAATAGACATTTCTTTTCCTGCTGTTTGGCATAACTGTGCCATTTTCTTTCCTCAGAAATGTAATAATATTTTTAATAGGAGGCTGACATTCAGGTATCAAAAGACCTTCCAAATTCTGATCAGACAGAAACCCAGGCTACTCATCATTTATGATCATTTGTAAGTACCTTCTCAAAGAAATGATCAGACTGCTCATGTCCTGATCCTATTCCAGTCTGACAAACTTTAATTGCAGTTTGGGATGGATGTTTTGGTTTGGTTTTTTTTTTTCCTGACTATGGAGAACTTAAATCTCTCTCTGGACTGTTACACAGATGTCACATTTCATACCAGATGTGAATTTCCTAAAGTAAATCCTACTGTGTATAGAGAAGACTAATGTAAAGCCTTCAAAGCCAGTAGCAAAACTTGCTGTTGACTCTGGATCACATATCTATGGGCTGTAAAGATATTTGCAAGTTCTTTTGAATAAGAAGACCACATAGATATAGATTATCCCTACAGGCCAGTACAAGTTTCTGCAATTCATTTGAGATGGAAATCAGCCTGCAGTCTTCAATGTGAGATAGATTTCAGAATAAATATGTAGAGTAAATGTATTTTTCCATCCTTAGAAGTTTTTTGAAGGGCAAATATTCTTCTATTCCTGCATTGATATAAATCTACTGGGGGATGGGTCTCTCTCATCAGTTTCAACAATGGTGAAAAATACACAGCAAAGTGTCTGAATGACAACCAATCTCCCCCAAGGACAAGTTTCAGCTCAAATGGTTTATCCCTGAAAAAAATCCTCAGTTTCAGTGGATGGGCATGAAAACATCAAAAAAAACAACCTTCTTTGGAAAGTTCCTGACAAGGAATTTTGTTACAGAGGATTCTAAGCACAGGCTGATACTGAGAAAGAGACTGGGAGGTATTTGGCTCCTGCCAGGCATTGTTTCTTAGTTTGATTAAGCTCTTAATCTTGTGTTTCCTCTGTGAGTATCAAGCTCCAGAAAACTGCCTTATTCAGATGCCTAAAGGGAAATAAGATTCAACCTCAAACAAACAACAACCACTGCTCCATTTTTGATCATAATCTGGGGGGAAATGTATCATGAAGCATCATGGCTCAATACCTCAAAAAATCAAGTTTGGGAGTCAGAATTTAAGAATCTGTCAAAGCTAATCACTTCAAATAATGCTGCAGTAGAAGATTGGACTCACCACAAGAAGCATTTGCAGCACGAGATAAAAAGATTACATGCTGAATGGCCTGATGTGAATAGGAAAGATGCTATTCCTAAAAGCCCTGAGCTCCCATGATGCAGTATTACAGCTTTGGACTGAAATGGTAAAGCTAAACTAGAACTGAGCACTGATAACGTCACAGCAATCAGCCTCTGGGATGAGAGCAGAATTCCTACTTCAAAAACTACTTTTTTTTTGTTGAATTGCAATTATTAGTATTTAGAACACCAGCAATTAGTCACTGAATCCAAGAGGCATTGTGCTGGGCTTTATTCTGTGTTCTATAGTGAAGAGCTGATGCCACATTTTTTTGACTAAAAAATGCGTTAACAGACAAAACAGAAATATGTATGGAGGGGATACAGAGAAGGAATGACCTGCTGAATGCTTAATATCAAATCAGCATCACAGCCAAAAATACAGCAGAGGGTTTTAATCTGCTGCTTGCTTCAGCCAAAACTGCCCAGAGCTGCCTTCCCTGAGAATTCACTTTACACCAAAAGAATCTCATCTCAATGATGAGATGGTGGGAATGATTCCTGGTGGGAATGGGGAAGCAAATGACAGCAGCTGTGATAAGGTAAATTCCATGGGTTAATCACCTGTTCTGCATTCACCTCTGAAATTAAAAGCCTTTGGAAAGAGACAGGAAATTCCTAAGGGAACAAGAAGTGAGTCCAGGACTTCTGAGGATACATGTGAGTACCTTTTCAGGGGATTAAAATCTGAGCATCTGTTCAGATGCTCAGACATCTAAAGAATAGTGGGTATTGGCTGCAGTGAAACTCAAGCTGGCAGGCTGCATTCAACCTTAGTCAAGCCATGTTCAGGAAAGGTGAATCCAACAGGCAGAGAAAGGAGTTTCCTGGGGAGTTTAAGGAAATGCTGTTGTATAAAGGGAGGCTATAATAGCCTATCTCTTGAGTCTGGCTTCAGCTAAACACAGCAGGAGGAAAAGATTATCAAGTTGGGAGAGCAGCCATTCCAGACACAGGACAATGTTAAAAAGTGGTAAATGTGCAAAAGTTTTCTACAAATGCATTTAACCTTTGAGCAACCTCTGCTGAGAAGACTAGTGAGGCAAAAACTAGCAATGCTTTTAAAGTGGAGCTTGTGAACTGGGTATTGCAATGATCTTTGCTATAGAAAAGGGAATAGAGTTAATTGGTCCTCCCAGGCCTTTGTTCTAAGAAGATACTTCTGTCCTTCATAAGACATTTTTCTAGAAAAAAAGCAATGAATTTTTTTAAAAGCTCTGTGTTACACAGAAATCTTGTAAAGTCTCTTTGCTATTGCAACATCATGGCATATTTTATAAATGTGGGAATATCTGATAACTTCTTGAAGAGGCTCTTGTGATCATTGAGTCATTTAGTCTTTATTATTTTTCAGCTGACCATTTAACATTTTTAGTAATTATACTTCTATACTAAAACCTGAATACATTTGGCTAGAAATCCCCCCAAGTTCCCCTAAAATTCAGGAAACTGGAAGAACAAAGCTCCCCACCTGAACAGCGAGCCAGCGAACTGCAGTAATCCTAAAGTTCATAATAGACATATTTACAGCGATCTTTTGACCCACACATCTCAAGATGATTCATTTTTGAGAAAGCTTAAAGCCTGCCTTTAAAGGATGTCTTCACTACCACATACACCCATATCTGTTGCCTCTGGGGGAAAAAAATTAATTATAATACATTGCGTTGGTATTGATCATCATACATATGTGGTGAATATTCTTGATAATGCAGCTTAACAATATAATACAGCATTAAGGTAGAGGTCTGATTACATGTCATTCAGCAAGGGTTGAGCCACTATATTTAGATGCTGACTAATTTGGGAGAGCGCTTATCCATCTTCCTGAGGAATTTCTGCAGCTCCTCTTCCTGTGGGATCTGAAGAGTTCACAACAGCTGGGCTTTTCACTCCCAGGGTTCCTGCAAGACTGGAACATGCTGATCCCCCCATTCCACACCTTCCTCCTAGGGCTCCTTCCCTCCACTTGCACAGTGTCTTTCAGGTATCAACACTTCTGGCCCTTCCAGGGGTGGCAAAGCCCTGGTGTCACCTGGACAGGGGTGAACTGAAGGACATGTCCCAGGAAAACTGCATCTGTGATGATGGAGATCTGGTGTCTGTGGTGCAGCATCACCCAGATGTACACTTATACCTAAAATGTGGGTTTGACTTAACTGAACCCGATTCTTAGTTAAAATATGGGCACTTTAGTTTTTTTGTATGGTGTACGTAGGAAGGGAGGAGTAGAGAGTTCTTGAATAGGTGTAAGTGCTACCCTTCAAGTTCTCCTTAAAGGTGCCCCAGTGTATTTCCAGTACAGGGTACTGTGTTTATCTGCAAGGTATCTCTAAGGAAGCATCCTTACCGAGGAGACATGGGCTCCCCACAGCTGCAGTGCTGCTGAGACACGTTTGCTGGGAGCTAGAAGAAAACATTTCTCACATCTATGATGAGGAGCCATGGTTACAAAGTCCACAGGGACAGCAGAAGTCAGCTCAGCAGTGACTTCCCAGATTGAAAAAGATCCATGTCCTGGACAGACCCAGGGATTTGTAGCAAAAGCCTTTTTTGGAGCTTGTGTGAACTGAGCATGCAGACAGACCCACCAGTGGCAAAAGCTGGAGGAGGCATCAAAGGGCTGACAAGAGGTTGGCAAGGAGAAGCTGCAAGAGCAGAGCTAGACCAAGAGAGCCAGGAATCACCCATCATCCAGCTCACAGCTACAGCAACATGAAAAGACAAGGCAATCAATCTTTCTAACTTACTTGGCTACATGATCAAGGAACATTAAGCACTGCATCACAAGGCTGCTGTACTTGGAAAGGTATTTCAGGTCCACAGTGTACTGAACCAGAGCGTCCCGAGCAAGAGTGGGTGGGAGGTTATTGGTTGGTTCTTACAGAGACAGCAAACTCCTCAGCACAGGAAGAGAGGACCACACATAAAGAATGCACACATGAGCTATACAATTCACTCCTTTAAGCAGACCCCAGGATCCAAGGGATGAAGCACATTTGAATGTGTCTGGCAAGAACACAATCCCACAGAGTACAGAGACAGCATGGTGCACGCAAGGTTAGAGATAGCTGAGCCAGAGGACATGGGAACTCAATCTCATTTCAGCACAGGGAATCTGTGCACACTCTCTATCCCTGCTTTGTAACAGGTGGACAAACAAATAACAGGATCATATTTGATTGCCCCCCCTCAGAAATGTCAGGTCATCATTGCAAGGGCAGCTGGCTGAAATGAATGTGTTTTTAAAATCACTGCATTTAGCTGTGCCTAAAGGTACCAAACAAGAAAGTTTAATCTGTTATTGTTATTCATGAGTTTGAGTTTTTTGTGAGGTTTTTTTTTTCCTTTTCATTTTTTTCTTTTAAATTGTTTCCCTGGAAAAAAGAAGTAATTTTTCTTTCCCCCTTGCTACTTGTCAGTCTGATTTGCAACTAGTTACACACTGAAGAATAAATAAGGTGTTTCTTTTTGCAAATCAAGAGAACAACTTGGCCACGGACTTAAACATCTTAGTATAGCAGAACAATCATTCACTGCTTTTTAAATAGTTTCACTTTTAAAATTCCTAATGTAAATATCATTAGGAAACAGCTTAGAATCCAGAAAAATAGCATTTTAACTGGTATTATAAGCTAAGTCAAACAACATTACACGTCCTGGACAGAAGTCACTTATCAAAATATTTTACATTAAAACATATGGTTTGTTACCCAAAGAAAATATGCTAGTGGCAATTATTTTCCTTTTGGTGTTCATCAGGTCTGTAGAACTAGTAGATATCAGCCTAATTTTGAAGAGAACAGACTTCCCCTTTTCATTGCCTGTGCTGCTTCTTAGCTTTGAGTGGGTTAACTGTCGGACTGATATAAACTGGAAACAAAAGCAAGGAAAATGTTATTCAGCTGCAAAAGGGATCTCAGTTGTCAAAGTGATCCACTTCGGTAAACTCTCACTCTTGGCAAATAGTCAGTTCAGCCAGTTTTTTTTTAAATTTGTAGCAATTAATCTCTGCTGACAACTGTTAATTTTAAACCTCAGTCATTCACATTTCTTATGCTCCAGAGGAAGCAATGCGGATCCTTAAGGCTAAGAGAAGCCTCCACAGCCTGTCCCATCTGTGTCCCCCTGCTCGTCCCAGTCTGTGAAGGCAGCTGGGTCGGGTACAGCCAGGCATAGAAGACACCTCTTGCATGGGGAGAGGGAAGAGGAAAAAGGCAGAAGATGCTAAAGGCAGATGGTAAAGGAGAGGAGGAGATGGCTGCCCAGGTGGCCCACTGTGAGTTAGATGCCTAAGCAATCAATTGGGAGAATTAGGGTTTACAATTGATTTCCTTGTAGACTAAGACAGTGCCAAAACTAGACAATACACATCTGAAAAGAGAGTTATGGCTACATCTTTCCCACGTGCTTTGCTGACTGAATTGCTGGGTAGATAGATCAAGGTAGAAAGATCAAGGTGCTTGAATACCGCTGCAAGAAGCAGACAGGGACTGACTGTCTTTTAAGGCATGTGCATAATCATGACTTATTTTTGTTCTGGAAATAACTTATGTTCTTCCCATATGGGTGTTTTTGAATGCAGCCCCAAAATAACAACCTCCAGTTGGTTGGGAGTGAGAGTACAGAGGAATGAGCAAAGCTGTAAACAGCCAAATTCTCCAGAGAAATAAGTAGCAGTTAGGAGTTCCTAATCAAAGGCTTTTTCATGCCTATATAGGCATTATTAAATTCCTAAAGGGGCACGTTAGACTTGGAAACTCCCCATCTAAGAAATCTGCTCCAGAAGGTCTTGGGTGAAAGTTACATGGCACCTCACCATGAAGTCTCAGATCCTGGGGGAGAACTGATTAGCAGCTGCTGAGGATATCATCTCAAAACCAGTTCCCATAGATTTGGAAGGAGTATGAAACTCCTGTGGTTGCTGGGCAGAGTGCCCAGGGATTACTCCAAGGCTGACACCAGATAGTCAGCACTGGGCCAAAGAAAGAGCCAGAAAAGCACCCCTGGCAGAAGATATAAGCATTCAGTGCCTGGGGGTACAACACTGAAAGGCTGTATAGGGCTGAGGAAGATAAGTCTGATGAGGACTCCACTATTCTCCCTGAAGGGTAAAGCTGAATGTCCATAGAAGAACACACAGCTTTTGCCTCTGTAGCAGCTGGTTTATCTGCTCCAGCAGAGGCTAGGAGTAAACTAACATATGTGTAGTGTGGATGTTCTCATAACCACACTCTGCAGTGAGAAAGCTGACCCAGGATCAGATCAGCCCTGTCCTTCTGCTGGGGTGTAGGACAGACAGAGTTCATGGCCAAAGCAGCAGACTATTCCCTTGCCCAAGTATTGGAGTCTCTTGAACTGCCTTTTAATATTAAAAACTGATTTTTCTCCCTCTGATGCTGCCTGTGGAGCTGTCAGGGAGGGGCCTCAGTTCCCAGCACAGGATTGTTGATTGCACTCACACCAGTGCAGACTGGCTGGGGGACCATCAGTCTTACCACCTAGGTGGTAACTGCAACACGGTGTTTCCCCAGCTCATGATTTCCCTGCTCTTCTCCCAGGTAAGCTGTGTGCTAAAGCACCCCCTGCACAAAGCTGGCATGTGGCACAGTGTTTAGGAGATGTGGAGGCCCATCTTCCCCCACACCCGTGCACAGCCTTCTGAGCTACGCCAGCACTGAACAGAGATGTTCCACCTGCCTGCATATTTGTTATTTGTTTTCATCTGTCCAAATCCGAGTCTGAAGGCTTGTAGGAAAATCCTGGATTTCCAGATCCAGGCTTCAAATAGGAGTAAAAATCACAGATATTTATATTAACATGTATAGTTTTTTTACATGTTGAAAACATATTAAGAAACCCAGAATTATCAGCTATAGCAGATTTTTATTGTACCTCTAATATTTAACTCTACATCCGTGTTCATGTTCAGACTGGCTAATATGTTTTGGAGCCATACATTTTGGACCTGGTGTAAAAAACATGGCATCAGTAAAATGCCATATTTAATAGTCTTGAAAGAATAGTCTGATCTACCAGTAATGAATACAGATAGAGGAAATTGCACCAAGCTGGCTTTATCGGTAAGGAAGAGAACTGGAGAGAACTGGCTGATCCTCATGCCCCATTTAGGACTGGGGTCTTAGTGGCAGTTTTGAATCATCTCTAAAGTCTCCCTGAGCAAGTAGAAAAGGCATTTTCCAAAAATTACACCAACCAACGTATCCGATGGTTCCAGGTATCCATGATATATCTCTTCTCACACGTATTTAGCTAAAACCTTCCTTTGGGAGAATAGGGAAGCATATTTTTTCTGGATTGCCGAGTATGCTGATGCAGAGACAACTCATGAGCCAGGCTCTGACAGGGGTGCCAGGCTATCATTCAATGCTTAGACTATGGATATGGCTTATCCCGAAGGAAACCACAGCAGTCTTTCATCACTGAGCAGCTAATTACCCATAATGTGCTGAGACGCTTTGCAGCTACAGATGGGGGCAGAACTGGCTTCTAGAAGTAAACTGTCTACAAGTCCTGCATCCTTGCTGTAACAGTAAATAGACAACCTCTCAGTTTCTCGTGGCTAAGGTCTAGTGTAAACTGTGATTTACAAGCTTGAATATCTTTTCCAGAGTGGATTTACAGGCTCTGACTTTACCCTCTTCTTTTAACTCAGATAGGGATTTGCAGCTGTGTAAACGAAATGAGAATTGCATCTTTATCTATGCCAAGAAGATGTGCTAAATGTTCAAATAGGCTGCAATGAATATGATTTAATCCTCAAAGTAGACACATTTTGAAGGATTTGATTTCCTTTCCCTTCTAAAAATCAAGCTCTTGCTGTGAGCCTGTATCTATAGAAAAATACCATTTGTGGGGTTCCCTGGTTCTTCGTTTGGCTTAGGGAGTACCAAGACCCAGAACAGCTCTGGCAGCCTCTGTCTTAAGACCCTTTTTAGAATGAGGAAATCTGGGTGAGATGAGAGGAGGAAATCCCTTCAGTGGGGAACAGAGTGTGAAGGGATGTTGCCATTTTGGAAGACTCCTAATCAGATCTTTGCAAGCCAGTATTTTTCAGATAAATCACACAGAGGGAGGCTTAGGACAAGGTGTCTCTTGCCCAGCCTAGATTAGCTCCGTGACAAGGACGCTTGTTTCTCTGCACTGTGACATTTCGCTTTCAAGAAGCCAGAGCGGCCAAGGCTCGTTCATCCATGTGCTGGTGGCCTTTCCAGAGTCACGTTGAAGCTGGGCTTGGGGCCATTCTGGCAGCATTGCTGGCTTGGGTAAAATCTGCCTGTTTATTAAGGTAATGTCCCCTTAACTCCCAGTGTGCTGAGAGTTTCCTGTGAGTGTGCAGACAGGTGTGTGTGTGTGCAGGTGCAGTGCAGCAGGATTATGAGGAGAGAAGCAGGGAATGTTACATCCTATGTTATATCCCTGTGTGACAGTAACTCATTCTGGGGAGGTGGGATGAGGAGGACCCTCCTACCAAAGCAAATGAGGGCCCCAGATCCCCGGGGAGTTTCTACCACGCCTGTGTTTGCACTGGGACTGTTTCACACCAGGTGTATGGTTTAATGAGAGGGATCTACCTCCCTGGCAGTAGGCTGGGGCACTCACTGGCTGAGCTGGGAGAACTGGGATGCAAAGCTGTGGTGAAGCAATCATTTATCATGAGCTGCCCAGACTCTGGTGTGAGCAGTGGGTCCAGCTGGAGACAGCAAATCTCTATTGCTTAAAGAGAAAAAAGGAAGCAAGAAAAGAGGTTAATACTGCTTACCCTTGATAAAGCTTTTAGCTGCAAAATGTCACATTCTTCAAAACCCAATCAGCCAGTCATGCCTTAGGCTTTAGCAGCTGTATCTCTAATTGGACCAAGAAAATTAGTTGATCTGCAGTATGAAAACACAGAAAAAAAAAACCCAACAAAAAAACCCAAACACAAAGCACATGCTAATCGAGTTAACTTGGTGAGAGGGTCTGTATGACTTGAGTGTTCACTTCATTGCCAGTGTGGCCTTTACAGCCCCTTCCAGATGACAAAGCCCAGTCTGAACTCCGCCTCCAAAGCACCTGAGCTCCTAAGATGTGGCAACCACACCAAATTGCCCCATAAAGAAATGCAGTTTTAATTGCTGGTATCAGTCAGCCTTGGAGCAGTGGAACAAGCAGCTCACCCAGATGATTAACATTCCTGCTGCTGGTAGAGCTGGAGTCCAGCCTCGTGGAGGGATGCAAATGTTGACTGACACCTTCCCACACTCACTGTGCTGTTTTCTCCTTCCCGAGGAGAAGGGCATGCTCTCCTTTGTCTATGTCTGACAGCACCATACGTCACCTCTCTTTTTCCTGCAATATTAATCCAGTTGCACTACCAAGAATAGCTCCAGACCTCAGAGCAGGGAGGGAGCTGCCCAGGGTCCGAGTGAAAGCAAAGAAAACTATTCAAGGAGCCAGTCGGATGGACAGTTTCCCATTTTAAACTGTGCATTCCATATTTATTTATGTGCACTGCCTCCAAGCAGTTTTGATAATGGCAGACTAGACCTGGTTTTCTGATTGTGAGAGTTCCCTGCCCTGCTGTGTCTAAAGGCTGAAATGTGTTGCAGCCTGCCCTGGAGGACTCCTGAGACTCTTGTTTGTGAAAGGCAGGGCTGTGCATCTGCTTGGTCTATTTAGGGGTAAGAAAGGCTGGTGTTTATCATGATGTTAACTCTTTGCCAGAAGAGGACTGCTCACTACAGGGTACCTCCCAGAGTCTGAATCTGTCAAGCTTTATACAAGCAACAAAAAACAAACTGGCTTTCACCATTTTCCCTGGAGATTAGCCTGAAACCAAATGGATCCCAGCATTCAGAGACTATCATGGCTCCGGACAGAATGTCTGCTCCACAAACCATGTCAAGAAGTTCTCTCTTTCCCTTGATGTCTGCATCCATCAGGCTTTTGTGGACTATGGCTATATACTCTCTTAATCACTGCATTTTAGGTTTTTCCCATATGCAAAGGCCTTAATACCTATGGAGGGATGGATCTACAGCTGCTATGTCTTTCAAACAAAGGGTAGTTTCCACCAAGCAAAGAAATTGTTAGTGTAGTTGGAGATTTTTGACATGTATGTTTAACAAGCAAGTATCAAATCCTGCTTCCATGCAGCTTCTTTCCTCTTGGGTCCTAAAATCTTTTAAAGAGCACACAGCACACCAGACTTTCTCCAGGCTCTCTTCAGAGCCTCTTCCAGGGCCATTCTTCCATGCATTTCCTTTTCCAAATGTTGCCACCTGCTCTTCACAGGAACAGTAATAGGTAAAAGCCTTTCATCTGCCTTTAATTTGGGTAGAAAAACCTATCCATATTTGAGGTAGAAGATGCTCTTATTTTAGTTACTCATTTCACAAAGGAGTTATTTTATAGGAAAGGCTTTATGGGTGTCTCTTTATGGGTATCTCATGCACAAAGTTTCATAATTCCTTTATTTGCAGAGGTACCATTGTATCAACATGAGCAAACTCAAGAGAGCAGAGGAAAGAAGTGTTCCAGGGCCTGTCACAATCATCCCCGCTTTCAAAGAGGAGTACTTGCAGAAAGATTTGGGGTCCTAAACTCTTGAGTCTTCAGGGGTGTGATGGTCAGGTCACACTTCCAGCAGTTTGGGTTTGTCCCTGCTCTAAACAGGGCAATATAGGTATGTAAGAAACAGGTTTCTTCTTTTACAGATTCCTGTGGTGGAATTCCTCTGTCAGGGTGTGATTGAGGAGAGGGGGATGTGACTCTCTGGGAGATGAGAGTGATCTGAGCTGGACTCTAAGCAATGAGTTTCCCCAGTATCCTTCTGGTAAGTGCCCACACCCAACATCACTATTCCATAAGACTGCTGGTCACAGTCACCTAAATAGTAAGTGCTGCCTTCCAAGGCTATGACAGAAAGCAGTGCCAACCAAACTGCTTGTGTTTAGTTTCCTGGCTGACATAAATGACCTGTGGAGCCAAAACCAATTTGCTGCCCACTATTCCTCTCATGTCTCTTTGGACACTGTTGCTTTGTGTTTCTCCCTCCCAGGGAGAAATAAGCTTTTTTGCTGTTTCCAGCAGTTAGCATTTGACACAACTTGCTCTTACTGACTTGTCTACATATCTCTTCTCTCTTTAAACTGCTGATGCAACTGTGGTTGGTACTTTTGAACCTGGACTGGTCTGCAAATCTCAGGGTTAGTTGTGACTGCAGGCTAGGGCTTCAAAAATTAAGTGCTTTGCTGGAGTCCTGTCTGAGAACTGGAGAAGGATCAAATGTGTACACTATGCAGCCATCCATCTCCCTAGAGTTTCATAATATTATCCATCTGGTTTTTTGCTTTCTTATGAGAAAGGCTCACGGGGTTACAGAGGTTCAAATTAACACATCTTGCTGAGATTGTGTTTAAAAATACTCGTTGTCCATCTGTGTGGAGACAAAAATCTATTTCTGTTAACATGGTTATTTTCCTTTTGACACTTGCTGTTTGCAGTACCCAACCTGGAACAAGTGTTGGAAGAAGGGAAGAGGTGCACTGAGGGCACTGGTCCACCTTTTCAGCAGGTGGACCAGTGCCTAACTTTGCATGGGGCTGGTAAGAGCCAATACTAGAGAGTAAGAGGGAAGTTTTGGGTGCAGGAAGGTGGCAGAGGAAAGGGAAGTATTTGTAGTATTCCCCTTCCCACCCCCAAATGCCACTGGAGGCAAAGCCTACAGTGGTATGGTGCCACACTTGGGGTGCAGTATCTAACAGGGCTCTGTTAAGTGCATGCTCAATTCTATCTTACTGGACAAAGAGGGACTGCAAAGGGAGGTTTTGCAGAGAATGAGCACTGCATTGAGCACAGATTGCCATCTGCTTGTCTTACAGGGTTCCTTAAAGGTCTGATGGCAAGCCTTTCCCAGCCTTTCTCCACAGCTACTGACTTCAACTCCATCACGCTTGGACACTGTATTCGTGATCCTCTTTTACTCTCCCTGACAATGGCAGGCTATAGAAAGAAGCAGATATGTGAAGGAATCTGTCTGTCCTCTCATCTGAGGGCAGCTTTGGTTGTCAGGCCAAGAAAATGGCTGGCATGGATGGTAAATCCCTTTGTGAGCAGAAAGACTGAGGGGGTAGCAGCTAGACAGGAGAACAATGAGCAGCTCTGTGTCATCCCTCTGCCACCCCCTGCAAGACACCCCCTCCAAGAGCCACTCAGCCCATTTTAAATGTAGAGCCTGTCAACTTCCTTCAACAGCAACGAAGCACTGCAAAAGGCACTCACCATATCTCCCACAACTCCCTTGAACACCTGGGATTTGACTTCCTAACTATGTCTGTATGCTGGGTGACTCTTGCTGCTATGGCAAGGGAGAAATGCAAAGCTACAGAGGCACTGGAGAGAAACAGGCAGCAAATCATGCTTGGCTGTGCAGTCCATGTGTGCTTGGCCTGCATTTTGCACCGGGTGCTGTCACAGCCTCAAAAGGCAGTGGTGTGCATATATAACTCTGGCCTGTTGTGTCAGACTCTCTTGGGATAGACAGTGGTCAGTGAGGAAGGGAGATGCTGTCTGTGTGAGGTTGGTAGCAAGATCTGACAGTCTGAGGGAAGCTGAGGGACATCTCCATTCCCACACACAGGTACAGGTGATATTCCAGGACCTCTCTGCACTGCAGCTATGGGACAACTAGGGAATGCAAAACCTTTAGCTTAAGGAAGAGTTTAAAATTGTTCTGTAACATTTTTATTGGCCATTTATGACTTTGTGTGATCTCATTGTAGTTGGAACTGGCATGCTGCAGCCTTAGGTCTGTGCATCTTCCTTCACCAATAACCAGAGGGTAGGTGACAGTACCTGTCATGTCATTCTTAGGGCTATCTGCAATTTTCGTATTCATTTTATAGCTGGGTTTGATCAAAAAGGAAGCCTGAAGGAAGTTTACAGACCCAAGCCACCAAATGTGAGGACCTTTCAGTGCAGGCTGGCTTGCATGTAAGTGTTAGTTTGCTCAGGTGCTGGTGAACAGACTAAAACCTTCTTCCTCACTGTGAACTCAACAAATCTGTGCTTGCTTGGGGCAGGCTCTATCAGGAGCAGTGTTCCCCTCTAGAGATATTGGCACAAGGTGTGAGCGTCCCTTTCTCCCTTTCCTTTGTATTTTCATGATGCTCATGTGCCACAAATAGGACAGTTGTGAGACAGGAGTTGGGGAAGAGGGCTGAAAAGATTGTTAAAGGCAGCTCGAGTAGCTGTTCCCTTTCTGTAAGTACATCCTTCTTCAGAATAGCTGGGACGAGCCTGCCAGCTCCTGCCACCTTCCTCTGCTTTCATCTCAGAGAATGATAAAAAATGGAAGTACCACAAAATAATGTGTATGGGCTGGCTTTGGTCCATCAAGCCATTTAATAAATTCCCTGAAGCTCAGAGTTGGAAGTGCTGGAAAACTGGCTAGAGACAATTTCCATATAGAAAAAACCATCCAGCCACAGAGCAGTTGAGAACTGTCTGAGCTCCTCACCATCTTTGATGATGCTAAAGAGGCCAGGTTCACTGAGAAACACATCAGGGCATGTTTGGCAGGCCAAGGCACTGAGGGATTCTAACCTGGACAGCCAAGGCTTTTTGCTTCTGTGGTTGCCATGTGGGAAGTCCCAGCACCTCTGACTGGGTGCTAATGGGGCGCTGAAGGTGTTTGTAACAATGTCAATGCTGGCCTGCCAAGCATCTTGAAGCATGAGTCACCTCTTCCTTAATCATGAAACTGGCCTACAAGTTATTAATATTTATTTTCTGACTGAAAATAGGAATGACCTGCCTTTACTTCCAAACATTTGAATCTGTAGAATTAATTCCAATGATGCTTACAGAATTTTCTCTGCATTCACAAAAACTTTGTTTTGTTGTCTTTGTGTTGCTTTCCCTGCTTTAAAATAAAAATAAAACTGAGGAGTTTTTCTCTTCTCATCACACAGATCCAAATCCTGAAGGACTCATCAGCTGTTAGGAGATTTACTGTAAAACCACAAGGATTTGCAGTGGTTGTTGACCAGCCATATGCTCAGCTCAGTGCAGTGCCCTTTTGCACTTCTGACCAAGCTGCCTATCTGTCCACTTTAAAGCTCTCCCTGCTGGCAAGAGTTTACATTAGTTCAGCTACAGCAAGGACATCACATTTATTCCATATTTGCCCTTTCCAGTATTCACAAATAAAATTTGTCCAGTGTGATAGATGCATTTGCTAGTGGTGCCTAAAAAACTCATAACCAAGGATGCAATAAGCCAAGATGAAAGCAAATCTCCAATCAACCCCATGAACTACTATATGCTGAAGAAGTATCCTGGAGATTCATTCTGCTAACAGAGCCCTGGCTTTTCTTCACCTTTTCATTCACTTAAATGGGGAGAACAGAAGAGCTGCTTAGCTGTTCACCTGAAAACATCTAGAACCTAAAACCTCCGTACTTTGTATTGGCAGTGAGAGTAAAAACCATACACCCTCTTCATCTTCTCCTTGGAGTGCAGCATTGCATCTCTGTCTGCAGACCTGGAGCACATGGTTTGGTAAAGGCTGAGTGTGTAAGGGCTAAAGCACAGCAGTCAGTGGGTCTATCCATCCTATTTTTAGTCATGCACTCTGTACCTGAAGCACCCTTGGTTGGCTGCTGGTGGTGAGTAAAACCCAGAAAGCCAGTAACCTTTCTCATGGCATGCTCTCATGGGTGATGGATGGGGTGAAGGGCACTTTGCAGGTTCCTGCTGTTACCCAATAGCTTGTAAAGCCTCCAGAAGGAAAAGAAAGGCAAGGGGGAGGCTTTGCAGGAAGCTCAGAGCTCTGTCATATCGTTTATTCCTGCCTAATTGCCAAGGATGTGAGGCAATTGTTGACGAGGCTGCGAGAGAAGGGAAGTGCCCTTTCCCACCTTCTCAACCTGCTCGTGGTTGCATAAGCCTCAAAGCGCAGAGCCTGAGGTTGCTATGCCAACTTGCATAGTTCCTCCCATCCACCTCCCCGTCTGAGCAATGCCGTGGGCCTGAAGGAGCAGGAGTCCATCCTGAAACAGCAAACGATAGGATCAACTGGCAGCAGAGGCTCTGCTCCATCAGTGGAGCAGACTGAAGGACTCCACGAGCTGTGTGTACCCATGGCCCTTGTGCCACTGATGAGACACTGCATCAGAGCAACTGGTTTGCAGCACTTCTGCTTCAATGTCCTGAGTGCTTTACCTTTGCTGCTGAATTTGGTTTCAAGTCCTCATTGACAGCACAGAGTCTGTGCTGCTACCCATCAAAGGAATCACAAGTTCAGCATGAGTCTGTGTGTCTGCTTTCCCTTCTGTAGCATTAAAATAAAGTGCCTTTCAAAGGAACTGGGAAGGAATCGCTATTTCCAGGAACTTACATAAATGGTCTTCAAGTGCAAAAGTGGAAAATCTTGAACTCCTTAGGCTCTTCACCTACCCCCTCCCTTAAGAAGGACTCTATATAGACCTAGATTGTATAGTAAAGGGGTCACATCCTTGAAAGAGAACAAAAAACCAGTGTGACTTAGGTCTGTGCTGCATAGAAGAGGCTGGCAAATAAAGCAGTTCTCTGTTTTTGCATTTTATCTTAATTAGCAGTCATTTCCAGCACAAATTCTTATGGTTAGCCCCTTTCCCATCTTTGTTTGACCTCCCACATAAACTACAAACTCTTTTGTCCACACTCCAGCAATAAACAGGAATGGAAATCCTGATGAGTTAGTTTGCCAGTAATTAAATTTGTCCCTTCTGTTCGTTTCACAGATGCAGTTGCCCTCTGATTTGAAGCAAAGTACAGGTCAGTGCCAATGGGAGATTTTAATAATCTGGTAGTCTGACTGGGCACTGAAGATGGAAAGTTTTCTTGTTAATTGGACTGTTTTGTAATTATCTAAGAGGAACAAGCTCCTCTGGACAGAGGAAGGCTGGGAGAGTGCAGTGTGATGGAAAAGGTAATGGGTAAATTTATTCTCCTGTACACATCCTCTAAGCCTTCAGCCAGGGCAAACACATAGAAGATACCTTAGATCTTATTTATTTTGACTCAGCAGCTCACTTTGTCATTTACACCAGAGAAAAAGTCACTTTGATAGACTTTCATGTCAGAATAACACTTTACATTGCTGGAAGTGGGGTGTCAGGCTAGCACAGCCTGTAGCCTGGGCAGAGGACACAGACTCGTAGCAAGGAAAGGCTGATGCTGCCTTCCTGCTTCTGCTGGGCGGGGCTCATGGGAGGATTGCCCCAGCCTTAAAATCTGACCCCTGAGGAGGCAGGCAATAGCACTGCTGGCTTCATACAAACAATTTTGATTGTAGCTGTTGCTAAAAACCTGAATTTTCCTGATTACAGATCATCAGAGAGATTTGTAGGCAGAGGAACCAGGTAGGTTCAGGAAAATTCTCCAATTTCACATTTACGAAAGAGGCCCATTTTTGGGCCCAAATTTGACCCCTGTCAGTAAATATGTGCAAACCCAGAAGCTTTGATCAGACTTCTGAATTTTTACTTTAAAAAAAAAAAAATGCTAGTTATTTCCACTGCAGAGAAAAACCTGACCTTGCAGCACTCTCAGGGTCTCCTTCCTCTTATCTAGTTGGTTTTAATCTTACAGTTTCTAAGCCTGTTCTATGATTTTGAGGACCTGACATATATTTGTGGAGAGATTGTAGCAGCCAACATTACCTTTTAAAAACCAGGCCAAAGCGGTTTTGTGCTCTGCTTCCTTTCAAGGACGTGGATGAGGTTATGACATGTCCATTAGTGTACTTCCCAGGAAGGTTTTGGTGCTCTGCAATGAGGTTGTTATACACACATCTCTGTGTGCTGTGTCACCTCCTGGCTGTACAGATGATGCTGGGGACTGTTTCCAGTCTTGCAGCCTGAAGGCTATTATTGTGTGGCCCTTTGCAGACAGATAAAACTCACTCTGCTCATGCTCTGAACTAGCCAAAAGCTATATAATCTCTCACCAGGACCAATTAACTCATGCTCAGCAGCTGGCTCATTAGTAATGGCTGCTCAGTCTGCAGTTAGTTTGCAGTGTGGGCAGGGGGAGCTTAAGTATGGAGATGCTTACTCTGAGTAACCTGGGAGTAACTGTTTAAAAACTGTATGCACATTCAGTTTTTCCATCTGCAAACTGCTAAAATATTTATGTTCCTGAGACACTGAGCTTCACTTCCTAGATATTTACAGAATGTATGGAGACACTAGCAAAAAAGTTACACTTAGAGTATGTAGTATTACCTTATTATTATTATAATGGATTTTACTTTGGTTCTTGAGTACATGATTGCAGTCCTCTGAGAGGGGGAAGCAGCACAAGAACAAAAAAGAAATATAAAAGAACAACCTGTCATTATCACTTGTTCTTCCCTCAGAGTGATATTCCCATTCACTGGTTTCCTTTCATGAAAAATAAAGGCGTATAATATCTCTCAAATCAAAGGGATGAGACATCTTTCAATCCCTGACACATTCTTATTTTCTTAATAAAGGAACTGTAAATGCCCAGGTTCTAACATGGAACTGATCCTTTAGATAGAGGAGGTCACCAAAACAATTAACCCTGTGTGAAGACACAGAGCTCTAATTCACATGTTCTTGTTAATAACTGCAGTGAAACCAAGTCCCAAATAAAACCTGTGCAGAATCATGCAGATGTAGAGCCAGACCCACCATGGAGCTCCAGGATGGTCACCCAAGAAGATCACTTAATATTAGACAGCTTTAGTGCTCCAGCTCCAGGAAGGCAACTATGGGAATTTTCTGAGAGATCAGCTTGTCATCATGGAGTCCACCCATATGGCTTCAGGGAGAAGCACAGGATTTAGAGAAGCTTAACAGCCAGGCATAAAAAGACATGGATGTCAGAGGAGCTGTGCTAGAAGGATGTACCTGTAAAGACTGAGAGGTTTCACAGGTGAGTTAACTCTGTTCTCTGGAGGCACAGGCATAGATTGAAGGTGTTGGTGGAGTATGAAGGAATGTGAAGAACCAGATCCTTAGAGAAACAATTTTCTGCCCTGGACAGCTCACTAGGCAAGAAGAGCTTCTGACTGGGAATGTTTATATGGAACCAGCCGATACCAAATATAGTGGCCAGACCCGGATTTGCAATTGCCACTTCTTAATGAAGACCCCAATAGAGGAGCTGGTCACAGGCAGCACCACATGGGATGCAGAGGGCTAGGACTTGTCAGTCTCTTTTTCATGCCTTTTTCATGCACCTCTTCTTCTCCCATTTGTTTTGTCTTTGGTTTTAGCTGCATCTAATGAGGTTTAGTTGTGCTTTTGGTTAGCTATTTTTCTGTGAAGTCTTACAGGGTCATCCCCAGTCCTCATCATCTTCTCACAAGTCTTCCTTCCCCTCTGCTCTCCTTAGTTGTCCATGTTCCCACTGCAGGTTAAAATGTTTAAGAGATGATCATTAGCCCTGGTAGGGAGTCAGAATGGATGGTAAATGAGGACAAGTAAGTACATACCTTTGGGATACAAGCAACATCAGTGGGAACACAGCTGTAGAAATAGCCCAAAATGTACTGTTTTCCTCTCTGTCTTTTGGAAGGTGTCAGTCAGGGGAGAGGTTTTGTGGGCTTTTTGAATGAACCCCTTCCTACCAGCATCATTCAGCAGGAGAGACATTTGTTGTCTCCTTCACAGGTGTGCAGTTATCTGTGTGGACACAGCCTGGGAGCAGCTGCGGAAATGGGATGCTAAACGGAAACTGGAAATTGTGAAGTCTACCTACAGCCACTCCTTCCTGAAGCACTCTGTAGACACCGTCAGGTGAGTGCTTGACTTGTCCAGCAGGATCATAAGCTACACAGAAGGATGTGTTGGGGTTTGCTTTTACTCCATCAGAGCCTGAAAGACTATAAACAACCCTATTTGTTGAATACCTACTTGTTGAAAAACCCTACTTGTTGAACTCAGTGAATACCAAGGGCAAGGAAATTAATTGTACACTTTTGCTGGTTTTTTCCCCCATGTTCTAGCCTGAAGCTTTTACAAATAAGGGGAGGGAAATTAAGTTTTAATTTTGCTTTTGAGCAGTTTTTTCAAAATGGGGAGAGTTTTAAAAAGTTCAAGAGTGAAATAAAAATGTAAGGATGCATGTATGTCTGTAAGGAAATCTGGGCATGCTGTGCCAGTGGCAAATGGAAAGGAGGGGGACTAGAAATACAGTCTTTTCTCAAAAATATTTAATTAAAATGTAAAAAAAACCTGATTCACAGATGCACCAAAAAAATGGTGACTTGAATTCAATTTTCACAGCAATGCTTTTCCATTTTGCAGGGATCTCAGTAAATACTATTAATGCATTTTACACTGTAGGACACTGAGAAATTACATCCATGCACAAATTTTGTGACAGGACCAAGAATAGAAGTCAAACCACCACTTTCTAAATTGTATGCCTTCCACAGCTACATTCTCTCAAGTATTATTCCTCTCACTCATAACTAACGATCATTAGTTATTTTCCCAGTCACTGTAATACCCCTGGAGAGCCCTTCACTGAGTTTAAATGCTGGGGGGGAGCTACAGATAATTCAGAGGCAGTAACAGATCAGCTGCTTCTCTATTTGCTGTTCAGAATATGACTTGGTACCTGCAGTTTACTGGCTCCTGAGCACTAACTTTTCAGCACTGCTGGATGGGAGGAGCACCAAGCAGGAGGGATGAATGTGGGAGGGAGGGAAGGTGAGGGGGTGGAAAAATGAGTCTGCTTTACTGAATAATGAGGAGAGTGAAAAGGAATGGGAAAAGAGAGAGAAAAACTGGTTTAAATATTTAATCTCCGTTGCATTTGCTTTTGAAGAGGAGACAAAAGGCTTGGAACATCTTTTGTCTTGAACTAATTCTGACCAGAGATGAATAGCATGTGATTGTCACTTCTGTCACTTGCCTTAAGGTGGAGAGAAACAGATTGGTCCTGCTGCATCAGCCCAGCACATCAGTCTCTGTCTCCAGCTGCAGCCAGTGCCTGAAGCTGCAGAAGGTATTCAATTACTCATGACAGTGAAACCTGGCTTTATGAGCCTACATTGTCCTGCATCCTGGTGCCAGCGTGGTCAGCATGTGTGGTGCCTGAGAGCTGCACCCTTCTTTGGAGAAGGAAACTCCTTGGAGAGGTCTGAGGAGCAGTTGTGCCTCCCCATATAGTAAGTCACTTCATTTAGGTCTTCACCATTTGAAACCAGGTGGCTAGTGCAACACACATCAGCTCTAATTTCCCCTTCTCTCTCCCCACTCCTCTGTACGTCTTTCTACCCAGCCTCCTTCTGCCGCATTCTTTCGCTTCCCTTGACTTGCCCTCTGTAGTCCTCCCTCTCTGCTCACCCATGGTCTAGGCAGGGCCAAAAGCCATACAGGTGCCTTGTCTACCAGTCCCAACTGCACAGTTTGTGGCACCTTCCACAGATGAGGCAGCCCCACAGAGGAGCTGGCAGGACCTGCATGCTGACATCAGAGACAACAGCTGTGTGTGCCAATGACCATTGCATCAACAAACCGTAAAATAGAACAGTTTAGCTTGGAAGGCACCTTAAAGATTATCTAGTTCCAACCCCCCTGCCAGGACTCTTCCACTAGACCATATTGCTCAAAGTTCCAGCCAACCTGGCCTTGAACATTTCCAGGGATGGGGCATCCACAACTTCTTTGGAAAACCTGCTCCAGTGCCTTACTACTCTCATAGTAACTATTGTTTTCCTTAATTCTAATACAAATTTCTCCTTTTCCAGTTTGAA